ATTTAGACGCTGTTATTGAACAACAAATGTCCATGACTGGTGCAAGTATGTTTTGGCTTGATGTTCTACATGATTGTCATCTCGATCAATCTTTATCATTACCATATGATCGATATCGTCTTATGAATGAACATCGAACTAATCGAACAACATCCATCTCCTTTGATTTTGGTCAAGATCTATCACATCATTTTCTTCTCTATGCATTATCAAACAATATCAAACATGAACATCTAGCACTTGCTACTTACTTTATCTTCTTATTTAAATTAACGAATGCTGAAAAAGATTTATGTGTTTCAATGAATATAGACAATCGTTATAGAAATGAACTGAAATCTATCATTGGACTGTTTGAGAATGTCATTCCATTAAGATATCAACTCGATCCTTCTTCGTCGTTTCAATATCTACTCAATTATGTTCGAGAGACAACAACCAATAGTATGAAATATTCTTATTTTCCACTACAACGCATTCTCAATCAACATCCAAATGTTTCGAAACCAGCATTTCTTGATATATCATTTGAATTTCTATCATCTATGACAAGAAGTGACAATAAACTAATAATGATTGGTGATAGTCATCTTTCGTCGATACCTTTCACAATGAACATTAATGATAATGTGATAAGAAATAAGTATGATTTCTCACTTCTAATCCAACACAATCTCAATTTCAATCAGCTCTCCTGCACAATCGATGCATCACTTGATTTATTCAATGTAGAAACAATTGATAACATATCTCAACGATTTCATTCAATGTTGAATCAATTATTTATATCTCTTGATAATCAGATGAATAAATCAATCTATGAAATATCATTAACATTACCAAATGAAAGATTACTCATGCAATCAATAAACAATACCCAAGTATCATTGTCATCTCCTGTCACTTGTATTCATCATGAATTTGTAAGTCAAGTAATGAAATATCCACAAAAACTAGCTGTTGAACTAGATGAACAATCTCTAACATATGCTGAACTGTTACATTATGTCCAAGTATTATCTCTATATCTTATAAACAACTATGTTATTCTTCCAGGTGAAATTGTATGTCAATGTGTGGAGAGAAGTTTGTCGATGGTGAGTTGTTGTTTGAGACCGATGTTTAGTGTGACTGAGATTTTCATCTTGTATAGGTGATTGGTATAATGGCAATAGAAATGAGTGGTTGTGTTTATTGTTCATTATCACCTCGAGATCCAGAATATCGTTTACATACACTCATACAACAAACAAGAAGTCGGCTCCTTCTTATTCATCGTTTTACAATAAATAAGGTTAATGATAAGATAATTTCAGTCAATATTGATTTAGTATCGGCTAACAACGATATGAAAAGTGATACTGACGTTGATCAACTATCAAGTATAAATGTTACATCTGACAACATCGCTTACATTATTTTTACAAGTGGTTCAACTGGTGTTCCTAAAGCGGTTTGTCTTTGCTGCATTCTAAAATATATGCTTCATTTCTTCTCTTTGTTTTAGACTCAGACGAGACATAAAAATCTCCTAAGTTTCATATATTCCCTTCAGTACATTGATTTTATTAACGAAAACGACACTGTGATGCAAGTTTTTGCTTCTACATTTGATGCACATATTCTGGAAATCGTTGGTACTTTACTTTCAGGCGCGACTGTTGTCATGTTACATTCTTACGGGAATATGGATTTTTTATATTTCGCAAATACACTGCAATCCAAACAAATTACGTATATGGCATCTGTTCCTAGTTTTTTGTATAGTTTCTGTGATTTTATTGGAAAGAGTTTTAATGGTAATCCTTTAGTTACACTGCAATCGCTTTCAATTGGAGGTTAGTAGAATACACAAAAAAAAACAATTATATAACCCTTTCCTAAATTTCTAGGTGAAATTGTCTCTCAAAAGTTAGTATATCATCTCAAGCACTACGTGGCGAGAACATGCTACATTTGGGACGTATACGGACCAGCTGAAACAACAATGCTAGCGACATTTTATCTTATTGATTCCATCTCTGGTCATTTGGATGTTCCTATAGGTAGTCTTCTTGTTAATTACCAATGCAAAGTGTTTGATGTATATTTACAATATGTTTCTATTGGCGAAGAAGGTGAACTATTTGTAGGTGGAGTAGGTGTCTTTGCTGGTTATCTTGGTCGTGATGATTTAACTGCAAAAGCTCT